CAGAAAACAAATGGCCTTGGCCTTGGCCCTCAGTAGATGTGTGAGCTGGCACCAGCGCCTGCGACATTTTCTCCAAATGAGAGGTCTGAAGGAGCGAGGTCTTTCAAAAATCAGGCATTCCAGGCTTCGGCAAATGACCAGGAACCATGTGCAACAGGTCATGAGGGGCGGCCAACAGCCCCGGAGTCCATTCTGTGCCATACCCCTCTGCAGCTCCACTTAAAAACCTCAATCTTAGACCATCAGGTCCCATTCAGAGGGACAGGATCTTTGTGTCAGAAGGTGTACCCATCACAGTCCTTAGGTGCAAGCACCACGATCACTCTAGCTGATCTCAGCCAAAATGGGATTCATTTAACAGACGACAGAGCAGCCCACAGCTTCTGCAGAAGGTCAAGGAGCCAGGCTCCCAGCAGGCAGTGCGTTTGGCCCAGGGCTTCCAGGAGACACACCCCTGGCACTACACGGGCAGCTCAGCCCCACCGCGAGTGCACCCTGCACAGGTGATACGGCAGGACTTCACTACTGCTGCCCCTAGCCTCAGGTCCCTCTCCACCGCTCCAGAACCAGCCAGCAGTGCCTCTGATTGGTGGAGGTCCGGTCACATGACAGTACCATTACCGCAAGGGAAGCTGGGAAAGTGAGTTCTGGTGTCTACCCTGGGGCTAGTGGGAGAGGGACCCTTAATGTGGGAAGCTCTGCAAAAAAAGAAAAAGGAGGGCAGTCTTCCACGCAACAAGCAGCAGGAGTGCCAGAGACCACACTTTCAATCAACAGAGGAGGAAGTGAAGCCCAGTGAGGAGAACCGAGGTCGCAGCCAGCATCTTCACCTTGGCCAACTTCTGGGTCAGTGACTTGGGGTTTCACCGCTGCGTCTCTGTTCATCCTTCAGCAGGTATCTCATGACACCCATGCGAGGCCAGACATGGTTCTGTGACTGGGACACACTGTCAAACATGACTTCAAGCCTACCTTTGGGGAACTAGGTGAGCCGACCAGTGCTGTCCACTCAGTGGCACTCTCCCGGCCACCTGGCTGTATCCGAAATCTCTGATGCGGCGCAAAGCCCCCTCCTCCAGGGAGCCTTCCCCCTCCAGCTCAGCCTGCAGGACCTGCTCCAAATGAGTCATCCCTTCTCCATCCAACAGTCACCAAGCACCAGGGTGCTTAGTCATGAACCAAACCCGGCAACCATGGAGATGCTTAACACGTTCACAGTTTTGATAGTGGCCCAAAAAGGGACTAAAAGGGGCACTGGGGGGAGAGCTGCATTCTAACCTGGATGGTCCAAAACTCTTCCCAAAGGAGATGCTGTTGCAGGTGGCACTGGAGAGCTGCAGGGGAGGAAGGGCACCTCAGGCAGGAGGTACAACTGAGCAAGAGCTCAGGGGTGGAAATGGCCTTTAATCCCACCCTAGTCACATGACCTTGAAGCAGACACCATCCTGGGCTATGGGCATTTTTTGTTTCCTGAATGTAAGACCCACTCATATTCTTGTTCATATTTTGGAGGCTTTTGCACAGGGCCTGGTGCACCAAAGCCAGGGACCCGGTAACACCCAGAGATTCTTGCTGTTTCCCTGAGGCATGTTCCTAGATCAGGGCCTCCCTGCTCCCTGCTGGTTTTCCACC